TTTTTTTTATCCCGCATTTTTGTTTAGGGTTTTTAACAACACGTGTCCTTCGTTACCAGACGAGTAATTTCATCTGTGACATCGCTATCGTTCCAAGTAATGCAAATCAAATCAGGCCTACTTAACATAGAAATTACTCAGCTGTTTATTGATATTAATTGTTTTAAAAAATATAATCGATAGTTTATAAAATTTAATCAAAACAGTGAGCAGTCACCAACTACTTTCGCAATAATGATTTACGTTCCAGTGAAAAATAATGCAGATATTTAGTCTTTTTGACACAAAAATAACACAAGTTAAATTATAGTATTTGCAATTAAAATGGGTTGGGTCGTTATAAAATTTATTCAGCTTTCTATTGCTGCTAATTTAAAAAAGATCGGTCAAATACTTTTGGAGTGAGGTGGTTCACATACATGTGGGGTTTTTTTATCCCGCATTTTTGTCTATCGTAGCCCACCACAATACTCTGAACCACGCGTTACATCGCGTTTAAAAATAGAAAAATAAAACCCAAAAACGAGACATCAATTACTATGATACCACAGATTTTATCAATTAAAAGTTATACAATCAGCTTATTACAATGGGATAAACAAATGACGTAAGAACACTTATCGAGATTGGTTTGTTTTCACACCAACTTCTGCATCTAACGAAGCGGTATCGACGCCATCTTGCTTTGTCAAAAATTGAGATAGGTGGCGCTCGCTATGTGCCCTGGAATCAGGGGGAGGTAAGTCTAGATTGACGTGTCATTAAAATTGGTAAGGCAGAGAGGGAGTTGCTAATCCCCTTCACTATACGCCCTGATTTGATGGAAAGTAGGTTGCCTATATTTAATTAAGGAATGTTTTATCATGTTCATAACGTCATACCTTTATGTTTCACGTAATGATTTTGCCGTATATGATAATATTACTTGATACCAAAATGTTTTATAACGCAGATTTTGTGAAACTAAAACTAAATTGTTACATCTTATATTTACAGATGTACGACTTTCCACAAAGACGTCAACACCAACTCGTCTGTCAATGTATCTCTGATCAACTCGAGCGTTACTGCTGGACAGCCAGCTGGCTCAGCTGTAGAGTTTTGGGAGTAAGGCAGTCATTTGGCAGGCAATCAGTGGAAATTTAATCAAGCTTTTTTCCCATTTTTAATTACATATATTAATGTTAACATTCGCTATAATTTTACAATCGATGCAATCGGTGTTTCTACGAAAAAAAACTCGTGTCTTATCTATGGTAATAAACTTAGTATTGAAATGTTTTGTCTCCTCTACAAGCGGGGTCGCAACCTTTATTTATGGAGAGATAATCAATGGAAAATACAAGTAGACCTGTGTTAACCTGACATGTTCCGCTAGTAAAAAGTAGAATCTGTAATACTGTTACTGACGATCACTGACGGTTGTGGTATTATCTGGGAGCTGGCCCTGTCAATTGTACATATCGTAATCCTACCTTCGCTGATTTAGCATATTATTCAGGTTAGATACGTTGGTCTGTTGGCGTTTATCATTTGTGTTATGTCTCTGTATTTCAAATGCTCAGAAGATAGATAGTTTTAGAGGTACAATTAAAACGTACCGGTGATTATACCTCACTCACCGCTAGGTGTCGCTAATATAGCAAGAGGGTATAAATAGGCAGAATCCAGCAACAATCGGGCCAGTTCTGTTCTGATCTCGGCGTGTGTACAGCAGTGACAGATCGTAAGTACATAATATATGCGAGATCAGCTTTGTGTTGGAAAGATAGAAGTGACTGAATAAGTCTTGCCTTGATCCACACACTGCCTGGAAGATATATTAAAAAAACCGATTGAGTGCTGTAGCGAGATACCGTTAGACAGAAGGTGTCACGGGCATAGACTGTGCAGTGGTAGTCGCAACCAGGCTAGTCGTGACTAGGTATAGTCGTCGGTGCTAGTCGTGACCAGGCTAGTCGTGACTAGGTATAGACGTTAGAGCTAGTCGCGACCAGGCTAGTCGTGACTAGGAATATTCGTTAGAGCTAGTCTCGACCAGGCTAGTCGTGACTAGGTATAGTCGTTGGTGCTAGTCGTGACTAGGGGTAGTCGCGACCAGGCTAGTCGTGACTAGGTATAGTCGTCGGTGCTAGTCGTGTCCAGGCTAGTCGTGACTAGGTATAGACGTTAGAGCTAGTCGCGACCAGGCTAGTCGTGACTAGGTATAGTCGTTAGAACTAGTCGTGACTAGGTATAGTCGTTAGAGCTAGTCGTGACCAGGCTAGTCGTGCCTAGGTATAGTCGTTAGAACTAGTCGTGACTAGGTATAGTCGTTAGAGCTAGTCGTGACTAGGGATAGTCGTGGTCATTAGACAGCGCCGTAGTTGTATACTAGTATAAGGCTGTCGTGATCGGCGCGACTATGTCATATAGCTAGGTAGCTGACTATAGAGCAACTATAGTGACTAGGGCTAGCCGCGACTAGGTAGTCGAGTTGTGTACTGCCTGGATTGTACGGCAGTGTGTGTAGTGTGTTTTATTGATACCGAGCAGATAGCTTTGGTAATAGTTCTATAGTCGTGCAGTAATTATTCTGTTCATATCCTGTATTAAGCATTAGGTAATAGGTATGCTGGTTACAAGGTAGTAACACATATTTGTATATATTTGCAACTGTAGTATAGTTATAATTAAGCCTACATCACAGGGATCCTTAGAAGGGACTAGGGTACGGACCCCGGAACGTTACATATGTTAACTGTTACAGACGATCACTGACGGTTGTGGTATTATCTGGAAGCTGGCCCTGCCATTACTGGTGGTATGGGTGATTGTGTATGTTATTTGTTACAGACGGGGAGTACTACAGCTGACCACAGATATCACAGACGGTGGTGGTATTATCTGGGAGCTGGCCCTGTCATTACTGGCGGTATGGGTGATGGTCTACTTTTGTGTGTGGCAGGGAGTCAAGTGGACGGGAAAGGTAAGTCCCTACTTTGGACAGCTTGAGAGGATAGCTAAGAGTCAGAACACCCCTTGCCCTTACTAATGGTCTTTCTGTTAATTATTTAAAAACATTCCGTACACAATAATCTTGTTTAAGTGACCCTATCACATATTTTATAAGCTCCTTAATCGATCTGATTCGTTTAGCTGTGTGTTGACATTTGCTAAGAAAAAACTACATCAGCTGAATGTCTACTGCTACAGGGACGCAATCTAAAACCGCGCATTTCCTTTAATTTGTGATCAAAGGTCACGTAGCAGTACTATAGGTGGCCTTTTTCCCTATATAAAAGTGAAATCCCTAATTAGCACTTGTCTTTGTATTTTGTTTTTGTTTTTAACAAACACAAATGACTAATTGTGACTTCGTGGGACTAATGCACTTACTGTAGTGTGCTGTGAGGTATCAAATGTTTGTGGTTATTCACAACAGGGGAATGGCAATATGGAATCAGGACTATAGATACAAAGAAATAGGTTAACACATATTTAAAATTAATTTTGTTGATGGCCAAACAGGGTAAATAATTAATGCACCATAAAGCCATCGCCCATGTTAGGACTCCTCAGCGATAATGTGATCAAAACATTGAAAATGTAAAACATTCCGAAAACTATAAAGAAATACAGGAAAACAGGAAAAGAACCCATAAAGCCCTTATTACGGAAAAATGATTCCAGTAATCAGGGTGTGATAAACCCCGGCACTGATGGTCATAAGCAGAATAACCTTGTCGCTTAAAATATCTCGTTTAATCTGATTAAATGTAATACATGTAAGAACAAACAATATTTCCTATCGCTGTCTGTAGAATACGTTTGAGTAATTTTGAAAAACTTAAATTAATGACAACTTGGATTGTATCATTAGGTTGTATACGTCACGGCAATATTTCCCTACGTCATACTGAGTGTGCTGTTGGTGCGGGGACTGACACTAGATGGCGCCATGGATGGTATAGTTTACTACCTAAAGCCGGACTTGTCACGACTTTCAGATATACAGGTATGTATATAACAATATATAACCTTGATTAACTTCTTCATTTGACCTTCGCTTACAGGTTCAAATGTAGCCTATCTCAATGTCATTGTCATTTTTTCTTACATGTAACTTTTTCTTCATACCTCTTCCTCAGAATATTGCCAAATCCTTGTATAATGCGCCAACATGTCGCTGAAAAATTGATAACAGTAGAATCAATTTTATTATGCGAGTTATGTATTCCTTCATGATATATCGATATGTGCTGATTGTATTTTTTCGAAGTCCTTTCTCAGTTTTTCTTCGCGATTTCTTGACACGCCTATGTTGATATATTACCAACCTTATTTACAATACTAAGATGTTGTTTGAAAATATATGAGGCTAGCTTCTTATACATAATATACTGATATTTACATTACAAAATAATTATTTATTTTCATGTTAAATGTGAAATAAATATATTTTATGAACTTTTATATTATTATATTTAATGGACCTCGTTTTCGAAAAACAATAATTTAATTGAAAGATAATACTGCCATTTTCCGCATCACGTGGTCAATATGTCTTGCTTTAAAATCAAACAAACGGAGATTTAAATTATAAATTATGTTCAATAAATCACTGCGCACTTCAGTGACGAGATGGTCTTACCCATTTTTGGTTAAGTATTTCCATGGCAAAATAAATAAATACAATCAACTAAACGATAACAAATAATGTTATGATTGGAATTTAGAAATGTATGATTCACTTATATTAATACAAAATGGTCATTCGATGATGATATAAATTGGGTACTGCAGGTTTGGATGGATGGAGGAACGCAGGTATTTTTCTCATATGCCGTTGCTCTTAACGAAATTATAACTCTTGGGAGTTACAACAAATTTACAAACAACTTTTACAGGTAAAAAAAAGTTTGTAAATACTACGGGTTTATTTTTTTTAATTATCTCTAAGGTTGATATATTTGTGCTGTATTGACATTCTTTTGAAGTGGAAATTTTTCTTTTTTTCTCGCGAAAATGTCCTTTCTGTTACTCGTATGACATGTCAAATCGCTAAAATTGTTTTAGATTTTAGACTTATATGCGGAACATAATACAGACTATCGAATTGTTCATCTATCAGATCGCATTCTTTTTGTATTTGTTTCTATTGATATTTTTTTTTTTTATTAAAAATATTATCAAATATTCTGCATATGTTATCATAACACTTAAGCATTGCTAGAAAGGTCAGAATATGTTTTGACCTCTCATATTCGATAAAATACGTTTGTCCTCTTTGAATATTCTTTGGTAAACCTTTGCGGTTTTCATGCGTGTACCTAAAGACCGTATAACTACATTATTAGAAGTATATTGTCCAAGTTGCGTTTTTATCAGGTCATTCTTTCCCTTCCAGGGACGCTATCCTAATATCGTGTATCAACAGTGGAACCAGTCTGGTTGGGGGATTCGCCGTTTTCTCCGTGCTGGGGTTCATGGCCAAACAACATAACCTTCCAATAGAAGATGTCGCTAATGCTGGTGATAAAATAATTTTATTTCTTATATAATATATACTTGAATACTATTTGAATTGAAATATGAATTTAAAAAAAACATTGATCTGTGACATAGGTGAAATGCGATAAATATTTATTGTTTCTTTTATTTTATTTTTTTATTTTTGGAGGCACGGTAGTCTAGTGGTAGGGCCGAGGGGTTGCGTGTTCGAGTCACAGCACGGCACTGTGTTGTATCTTTGAGCAAGATACTTTACTCTGCTTGTTCCAGTCTACTCAGCTGTAAATGAGTACGTGAATGGGCAGTGCCAGAATTGTTGAATGCTAGCTGTTAGCGCCGAAATGTATCCTCCCCAGAGAGTTGAGAAAGGTATTGGCTGGTTGCAAAGGCCCTATAACCACGGATAATAGGTTGTGAACCGCTTTGAGACGACATACGAACTAGGATGTAATAAAGCGGTATAAAAGAACCTCAAATTATTCATTTATTATTATTATTATTGATATAATTGTTTGCTCTGTACAGGCATGACAGAAATCAGGTTTTCATATCTTCGAAATCCAAGGGTTCTAACCTCCGAACCCCTGGAATGTGGCCTGACAGAGTCAAAGGCACGCGATAAGCTATATGATTTGTTTAAGGTATAAAACAAAACTTAACAGTCACTCGGTTTATACCCGCCCTTAAGAGATAACAGCGACGCTCGTGACATATCACATGAGTATATGTATCGAGAGAGGAATCTTTGTATTTTGAAGTTGTGATATTTCTTTCTAGCATTTGATTTGTCATTGTAGGTCCCGGGTTGGCATTTATAACGTATCCTAACGCCGTCACGCAGATGCCGATTTCTCCGTTGTGGGCGGCGCTTTTCTTTTTGATGATCATTCTACTTGGACTTGACAGTCAAGTAGGTATCAGTTGCATTAACATTTAATTTATCAAATGACAACTGTCATTCTAAAACAAGTCGTTATAAATTATAAAAAAACATTTGTAACAAATATTACCGCGTGCCATCTATCACTAAATGCAGTTTAAATTGTATTGGATACTAAATATAGGGCACGACAGAACAAAAGAAAAGACATAATAAATCGTTGCAAATATTAAGTCCAAAAGCGTAAGAAGCGCCTTCAAATGTGGTATCGTATCCATCAAGATGTCTCAAAGAAATCAAAGAAAGTACGTAGTTCACCAGCGATCTGACCATTGAAATAGTTGTATCAAATTATATCAGATACCTTATACCAAGAACAGGTCCAAGAAATGCATTAAACCGAAGCACCATGATGCTGAAATATTACTTCTACAAATAGGAACGAATAAAAGCGTCCTTTTTGTAAATACTGGTAACAGGGTGACCCTTAAGATAGTTCTGCATGTAAATATAAAACGTTAAACAAGTGGAACCTGTTTTAAACAAAATGCATGTAGTTCTGGAAAAGATCAATTTAAGGGATCATGTGTAAATATCTGAATTTGAAGGGATGAGTGTCTACAAGGCCTTTTTTTGGCCCCGGTATATTCGGATTTTCACCTCCTTATTTTGTTCAAAGATGTCCTATTGTATGACATGCGGAAAAACTAAGGTAAATTTTGGTGTTAGGCCAGGAGATGCACTTTGATCATTGTACTCCAAATCACAGGAAAGGGCGTTTTTAAGTAAAAAGGCATTGAGGGATAAGTATGAAACTTTAACAAATTAAATAGCATCATTTAACTAATATATATGCCAAGTTACATGTTTATCCCCAAACGCCCTTTATGTACAATCAGCGGATACACATTGGAACTAGGCAGAAAATTTGATAAAACAATTAAATCGGTTAACTTAAACGATTAAAGCAGATACTTTGCTTGAGACTAGGAAACTTAAAATTACCAGCAAAATAAACCAATCAGTTTACAGTAGTTGTGGTGGCAAATGCAATTTTTTAGTGTAGCATATAAAGGGTGCCATGCACCTTTTAATTCACTTAAAATTGAGAGATATTTGAAATGGCCAAGTTTTAGTTGTTTCCCGAAGACATAACTCAGTATAAAACAAAAGGAAAGTATGTAGTCAATATGCAATTTATGGAAGTTTACTTAAATGAGTGAAGTTGTAAATTTCAAGTCAAAATATTAATTAGAAAGGAAATTATTGAGAAAACAAATTACTTTTCAATTGAAAATGACCAAAAAGACCCCCCTGACTTAATCCTTCGTTTTATATAAACAATCTTTAAGTGACGATTGCATTTCTGTCATTTTTCATTCTGTTACATATGCTTGTCTAATTTATGCATGTTTTCAAAAACAGAAATGGTTTTATTTTGGCTTTTAAACTCATTTTGAAAACAGCGAGCTATATTTGTGATTTACCCTATCCCTTTTGGCACAGTTGTGGGATTGCACAACGTTACACGATGTGCGGTGTGCGCACGATGTGTGAACGATGTGTGAACGATGTGTCGCGAAGTGCGAACGATAAAAAATTGGACGATCATTGCTTGCGCACATTTGTGCGGACGATTGACGAACGTTGTGCGATAACAATCGTGGTTGGTGTAAATTGAGGAATGGCTTAACAATATATACGGTTTCGTGTTTAAACATATGAACTTGATTTTTTAGTATGTTTCTATATTCAAGCTACATCTATAAGCTTATCTTTCTGTCTACATTATCTTAAATTTAAAAGTGTTGTTTTCAGTGATTTTTAAACGACCTTAATCGACACATGTAAAATTACAAAACAGTCTCGGCAACACAAGTAAGCATAGCCACTTTGTACTTGGACTGTAGTTTTCCACCGCCCGGGGCACTTACGTAACTCACCAAGGTGTGATAACCAGGTGAAGGGAATCCGGAGCTATAGACCAAAACGAATGCAAATAACCAATATTAAAGGTCCAGTTGTGTTTTCATAACGGTCGCGCCAGGCAAAGGCCAAGTAAAACTCCGGTCACTCATCAAATTGTTATTTACCTGTTCTGTTACCGAGGAGCCAAACTCATTCTTGACAGTCTAACGGTCACTGCATACTGTGTTACACGCATTGTAAAATGTACATAATCTAAATTATAGTGATGAGAGAATTACAGTAATATATACAGTGTTCATTATTGTATACGAGCCCTCCGTATGTTTTTCTTTCCGTAATATTGATCAACAAATTGTACCAAATCGCATAGTTGTGTGGAGGGAAGCGCACAACGGGGCGAACGATTTTTAAATCGCACAGTTGTGCGCACCATGTGTGGACGATGTGCGGATTGTGTGTGAACGCTGTATGCACGATGTGCGTACGGTATTTTTGGTGCGTTGTGCGGTCACACAACTGTACCTCCAGAAACCCACTTTCGGTCAAAATTTTACCTTAGTTTTTCCACATATCATACAATAGGACATCATTGAACAAAATAAGGAGGTGAAAATCCGAATATACCAGGACCAAAAAAAGGGCCTTGTAGACACTCATCCTTTAATGATAGGGTTGTTTTATTAATATATGGAAGTGGTACGGAGAAGCGTTTTTTCACAGAGAAATCCAATGTATAAACATCATTGTTTGACAATAAAGGTGACCAACCCCGTAAAGATATAGCACTTAACAAAAAAATGATGCACAAATAAAACATAGGAGATATATGGTACACGGATGTAGACGAAGTAGCGAAAATGTCTTTTTTTCAAGACCTTCTTGAAAAAAAATGTTATGTCTTAAGCATGTTGTCATTAATGATAAGCATCCAATATATTTATGTCAATAACGTATACAGATATGTTTTATGTATATCATCACTCCATTCATTGTTACTCCATGTGTTATATTCTGTTGAAGTTTGTTGGAGTTGAAGCCGTCATTTCTCCGATCATGGACGTGTTTCCAAGTTTGATGCGAAGAAAGTATCGTCGGAATTTGCTGGTGGCAGCTTATTGTTTCCTGTCGTTTCTCCTGGGCCTCTCCATGGTATCTAAGGTATGTTTGATTGTCATTTTAAAACATTTCTAGAGAATTAATAGATCTTAGGAATCCCTTAGTAATTTATATTGTACACGTTATCCAGATCACCCAAGTGCTTGCAATTGATGCATTGATAGGAAACCTCAAGGTGATTGGACACTGTGATATACTGTTAAAGCATATATTTTAGCAGTATTCTAATTTCAGCGCTTTAAACGTCTTATTTGCAATTGAAGTTTCTGTATATAGTTTTCTATTGCATACATTGTGGATACGCCAATATGTCAATGCGTCAATACGTCAATACGTCAATCCGTCAATGCGTTCATCTGATAGAATTCGAAAAACACTAAAATTTGTGTGCGCTAAAAAAGTACTTTTACAGTAATACTTTGATCACAATGTATGTTTCTTCATATGAATAATACGCACTGGCGAACTACTGGGTTTACTTGTCGACCGAAATCGCCAGAAATAAACTTCCGACAACTTAAAATTATCACACTCCATGGTCTGGATGGAAGTGTGTAGGAGGTATGTGCGGGGTGACTGTACACGGAAAAAACGAGCGTGGTCAGGCAGGTAAACCATAACATTTCACATCCTATTCGGGAATCTAACTTGGGCCGTTATAGTGACAGGCGCGCGATCTAAGTACACATCAGCACAGAAATATATTTATAAACACAACACGTGATGAATTTACCAACTGATGGACAAAGGCTTTGCAATGTTATAATAATAGTAAAACAATATACAACATTTATATAGCGCCTTATATAATATGAGAAAATTATCCTAAATTCACAACACAATAATAGTAGTATCCTGCAGTGACAGTTATAAATAGACATACATTATGTTTCAAGAGATTTATCTCTATTTGGGTATTTATAGAGAGATAAATTAAGGGTGTTGTTTACATAACGTCAGTGTAAAAGAGCATACAAAATATAAAATGCAGACGTGACGAGGTGGGTCTTAATATCCTTCTTGAATTTAATCAGAGTTTTTGACATACTGGTAGCGGATGGTAGGATATTTCACATCATTGCCGAAAACCCATCCAAAGGTCACAGTATGATATTTTGGAATACACAGCAAGGATTCTCCCTCCGACTACAGCGGCCGTGACGGCTGTTGCCGGGTAACAAGCTCGTGTAAACACTGCGACCTGTATCGTACAGGTAACCAGTGCAATATAGCACACGATGATATGCTCTCTCCTTCGGGTACAAGTAACCAGACGTGCTGCAGTGCTCTGGCCCCTTTTCAGACGACTAGTCTCAGAGGAGGGTAGGGGTAAGGGTAATGGGACCTCTAAATCTAACCCTAAACCCAACCGAGAGGTAGAATGCACCAAAATATTGCATGCATCTACAGTTATAAACTGTCAGACACAGGCAATGTTCCTGATCTAGTAATGACAGAATTTGCCAATAGTGTCACTTGTTTCTCTATGTATAGTTAACTATCAAACTACATCCATAGGGTTTGAACACTTGGAACGTCTCAATAGTTCCAGCACCGATGTTTATATGTCGACTCAATGTTTGCTGACACTTCGAGAAACAAACTAGTTCCGGCTTTCCTGATAAAGCTTTAGCATGTTGGCGTTCTTCCGGCGCATGTTTCTCTATCAACACTTCTATAACAGATATGTTTACTTTAATAGTATTATCAATTCCACTTTCAGTAGACTAAAGGGCGAAAGACTGAATGTCACTGATAAAATCTTGTATGGAAATTTTGA